TGAGCCCCTTTCTTCTCTCCCCCCCCCCCCCCCCGGGCGGCACGGCACGTCTCCCCCCCCCCCCCGGGCACGTAGTAACTTGTTTAAACTCCCTATGGGGCTTTGGCTGGATGGGGAACATTGTTCAGGAGTGGGACAGGTATGTTCCATTCCCTGCATACCCTGTCTTGTGAGGGAGAGGGGTGTCTGGGAATCAGCCGGGGCTGCAGGGAGGTAAGGGGTGGCGGGATGGGGCATGGGGTGGGGGGCTGCATGGGAGCCAGCTGGGGGTGAGGGGAGGGAGGAGGTGGCAGGGGGCACATGCAGAAGAGCTCATTTAGTTGGCAGCTGCCACCACAGTGCTCCACATGAAGTCAAACCTCACCTGGGGCAGCCCATGCCATGCTCCTGCCCATACTTGCTGGCCCCAGTCTGCAGCTTGTGGCAGAGCTGTTCCCAGTGCAGCTGCATCCAGCAAGGCTCACATTATCACTGGAAAGTCAGGGGAGCACGGCAGCACGCAGTTGGCTGCAGCCACAACAGGAACAGCCACATTAGAAGCTGCATGCTGGTCCAGAGCCTGGGGCAGTATGCTGTTCTGCTTCCCTTGCCTGCAGCTGCTGCTCCTATCCCTGCCCCCTGCTGTGCTGCTCTGGGTGGATGGACTGGAGGGATGTGTGGACCTCCACCTTTAGCTCCTGGCTGTCTTCCACCTGCCCAGCTCGACGAACAGGCACTGGATCTGGGTAGAGTGGGTGGAAGGTGGCCGGGAGCTAGAGCTAGCGCTGGAACTCCATGCGCTGGGCAGGAATTGCCTGGCCAAAGCTTCCCCCCCTTGTCAGTCTAGGACTGGCATGGCAGGAGCAGCAGCAGCTGCTGCAGGCAAGGGGAGCAGAACAGCCTGCTGACCCAGGCCCCAGCCAGCACACAGCTTCTGGCAGGGCTGTTCCGGTGCAACTGCAGCCAGCTGGGTGTTGCTGTGCTGTGTGTTAGCCTGGGCTGGCGGGAGCAGGTGGGGCTTGGCCCCATGTGGAGCACTCCGGGGCCAGCTGCAGGCTGGATCTAGTCAGTTGGCAGGCCGAATCCGGCCTGCAGGACATATTCTGCCCACCCCAATATAAACCCATTCATTTCAAGTGATCTGCTTAAATACAGTTTGTTATGGTGACTGAAAACCATAATGTAATGACCATATTTTAGTGATCTGTAGTAAATAGTCAATGATGCAGAATTTTGCATTGCAAATACTATGGCGCACGTGATGCTAGAAGTATATGCAAACTGCAGACAGTGTTTAGATTTGACCTAACTTGGATTAGATCTAAATGCTCATCTGTATATTCATGGGACTTAAATTGTGCCAAAAATGGTGGGTCCAATTTAAGCTAGTTCACCTACTTAAATAAAATAACTTATATTGGGAACAGGTTAACCCAGTCCAATTCATGTCTGCATGAATTTGGATGGCAGCCCGGTGGGTGGGAAAACCAAACCACTCTTCTGAGCCCTGTTCTTCCTATTTGCGTTCTTCCCCTCCAAACCCTGACAAAGCTACTTCTACCCCCTACCCTGCACAGACAACCCCTCCAGACCTGCCTAACCCCCTTGCAGAATGCTGTTTAGACATTTTAGTTCTTACTCCTGTATTGAGAGAGGTGTGGGGGGGGGTTTGTTTTGTTTTGTTTTATTTTGTTTTTTAAAATCACTTAATAAATGTGGGTATGGGGTTTTTTACCTTCAATCTTTGTGGAACAACACACAATTATGAATAAGGGGCTATGGTCAGGATCCACAAAAGGACTAAGGTGCATAAAGTGGGACTTGTATGAAATTTAAGGGATGAAGTCCAGTAATGTGATTCTTTTAACCCCAGCCTAACTTATGGAATTTCAAGGGCCTCGGCATGTAAGTATTCACTGATAAAGTCCGCTAGGTGGCAGAGTTGTTGTTAGATTTTTGCAAGCTTGCATGACGGTTTTCAGATTATATGATCGAATCCAGAAGGAAAAAACAACTAAACTGCATGAAGGGCCACACAGCTGATTAGAAATGTGAATGACTGCTTTGATGTCTACCTTTTGCAGTATAAAACTCTAAACTCATACCATTTGAGAGGCTGGTTAAGTTGAATTATGTTATTTATTTATTCATTCATTTATTTAAAAGGACATGGGCAGTTACATTTAAAAATAAAAGACCAAAATTTGTAGGCTACCTTCCTTTGAATATCTTATTATAGATGGGTTTATGCCAGGCTTATTCTGAAGACCGAAGAAAAACAAAGTACAAACTTATCAATTTTTTTTTTAACAGATCATTGCTTCTAAAATTTTATGTAGTCAAGTAGTGCTTCTTGTTTTAGTTTCCATATTTAAAAAATACCTTGTTACCTGTCTGAAAACTTGTGCATCAGTGAAACTGGAAGAAAACTAAGCATATTCTTTGGTTTAAAATGCAACAGCTGGTGGGAGTTGGACTAGTTCCATTCCCGATGATTGGCAGTGGGAATTGTAAATTGAAATCTTTAAATTTATTGATGTCCATTAATGGAAGGTGGCTTTTGCCATTGATTTCAGGTGAATTAGAGCAGAGCTGTGTATGAGGGTGGAGTGGTAGAAGCATTGCAGCTTTAAAAGAAAGTCCTCTTATAGCTGATAGTTAATTTAAAACAAAAAAACCCTGGGTTTTTATTTAGAATGGGAAGACCAAGGACCTAGTCTAGCTGTTAAGTATATTATGCCTATACAACTAATACTGAAAGTAAGATTACATTTTTTTTTAAGGATGGGTCATGATCTTTTTGTTTTTGATACGTAGAGAGAAGCTGAAGAAGAGAGCTCTTCTTCAGGGGGAAGTGGTCTGATAAGTTTGCACACACTCAGAATTTGTAGATGAAGGAAGATGGACTATTTGGAAAATAGCTGAGACTGTGTAAGACAGGAGCGTGCAATTTACAAGGAAGAGCTGAACAAATGAAAATTTAGGACCAACGTTAAGAATGGGAACACTAAAGCATAATTAGGACTGAATCGTTTTGACAGCTACAAATCAATTGGTTTCAAACAGTAATACAAATATTCTCTTTAAAGAAACGTATCTCATTAATGTCATCGTTTCTTCGATTATTTCAAATGCTTGTGGTTTTGTAAAGTTAAAGTAGCTATTTAATCTTTGTTTCCTAACCAGAGTGAACAGCTAGTCCAAAAACGTTAGGTTTGTGATGGTTGTGACTTTTTTTTTTTTATGTAATACTAGGTACAACATGCTAACTTTTGCTACAGCTTTAACTACAGCAATTTTTGCTGTCTATCCACACCTCTAAACATAACATTTGGAATGATTCAAAGGGTGAGCAGGGTCCTTTGATACATGTCCTTTGAAATTCTCAAAAACTGGTGCAAGTGCTCCAAAAGTAACTATTGGAAACTACTGTTAGGAAGCACTTCCTGTTACGTGCATGCTATCTGTGTAGGTGGGACAGGAGAGAACTCAGTCCTTCAGCATATTCTCCCCCCGGGGACGCTCCATCCACCCCACCATCTCTGTTCACAAGCTGCCTGGTACCTTGAGGTACGTAGAAAAAACATACACGGCCGTGTCTGTCCAAATCATTGAATCTCCAAATTGAATCGGAGGCTTCCGATTCAATTTGTAGAGATTAATGGGTCTCCCGATTTGATTCAGATTTAGAGATTTGGTTGCCGAATCTCCGCCAAATCAAATCGGCAACCAAAGCTTTGCACAGCCTAATGGTTAGCTTTGCTCCTATGCAGAGGACAGCCACAGAAGGTAGTAGCCCTCTCATGGCCCTTGGCTAGGAAGCACACTGCAGCCACAGCAGCTTTAAAGCTGTCCAGCTGGGAACACAGCAAGGGGCTGTATGTCTGCTCTCTTTTTGAAGTGCTTCACTTGCGTAGTGTTTGAAAAGCTTCTGTATCCCTACGATAAGAAAACTAAAATTGACTTAGCTGTTCCCCCATCACAAAAGACCCTCACCTGGTATTCCTGGATTTTGCCCAGTAATTCAGGGATGAGCTATGTTATGGCTTTTTAGAAACATATTTAACTTTGTTTTAAAGATTCCAGGTGGTGATAGACATTTTACAGCATTCTGAGTAAAACCAATTGAATTGATAATGGGAACTGGAAACCTAGAAAAGTAGGTCTGAAAGGGACATCAGGAGATTCTTAAATCGTAATAGCAGATGCTTTTATCTTAATTTCTTTAGGTAAGAGACTCTCAAACTCTGAATTCTTTGTTTAAAAAAATCTCATGATAGCTCAGCTAATAATGAGCTAAAATAGTACATGGAACATGTTTTACAGTAGCCAGAAAGTTGTCCTATCCCAGATAAAAAGGTCAAGAGCATCATATTGATTAGTAACTTGTTCTGGGGTATTTAAGCTAAAGTTACCCTCTGAATTTAGTGATTGCACATCTGTGTACTCGCATGGGGAAGGAATGGGGCAATATCAGTGTCCAAAGAAAAAGCTGAACTTGACAAATAAGTTATAGCTTGCATTTCTTTTCCAACAGAGATATTAATGAAGGGTATTCACATTTTTTTTTTTTTTTCTCCTGGGTTTTCTTGAAAGACACTCACATGACAACCTCCTTCCAGTCTAACAGCAAAATTTTTGTTGAGTTTAAAATTATTTCTGTTCTCAGAATAAGGTTAAAATCTCTATTTGATATCAGCAGTTGCTTGATCATGATTATAACTTAGTGAATCATGTTTTAATTTACAGCAGATGCTTTTTAATAGCAAGTAACCAGAACTTTTCTAATGTAAGGTTTTCCTTCACTACTTAATCTCTTTATCAATCTGAACATTTTCAAATTGAGTACATTGTTTACTAGGAAAAAAACTTAATTACTGACTTCTTGGGTTACATCTTGTCTTTCCTCGTGCATCCAGCTCCCTGCAAATCATCAAGTATGGTAGAGGGTCTGATGGGCTGATATTAATGAAATGAGCCAAATAAACTAAAAATGTAATCCTCTTGCATTTTTTTTTTTGCCCATGTTTAGACTTGATCGTCTCTTTATTTTACTGGACACTGGTACAACACCAGTAACAAGAAAAGCAGCTGCTCAACAACTTGGAGAGGTGGTGAAACTCCATCCCCATGAATTAAACAATCTGCTATCTAAGGTAAGCTTTTTATTATTATTCTTAATGCAGTAGGGGGTTTTGCCTACTAATGAAGATAGAACTAGATTTATCAGTTAGACTTGCATGTATAGTTTTCATGTACATTGCCAAACAGCCTTCGATTAATCTCCTGTTTTAAGAGACCACATTAAAGCTTCCCAAGTGTACAAAATGCAATTCTGCTTCACTTTTTTTTTTTTTGTTTTGTTTTATTAGAAAACCACTCTTTTTAAGCAGGTGATTTATCAGCCTCTGAGATGATCACATAAGATCAGTTTCACTGTGTATTTTATACTTTGTTAGACAATCAAGTACAAGGTGAGGAATTTAAGTTATGAAGAGAAATCTAATTATGAGTTTAGTTTCCTGTTGCTACCTTGTTAGTTGGGGAAAAAATTGCTTCTGTGATGAAGCTTTACAATCTGAAATTGTGTGATCACCCCGATAATTCTAAAAGGACTGGAAAAGAGACAGATTTTCATTATTTCCAGACTTTTAAATCTAGTCAAGTCCAGTGAAAATACTAAAAATATGTATTTGTTTGATAACTGATGACAATTGCTGTTTTGGTTTGCTCTCTCATGAGGTAGGAAGGAGGGGCACAAGTCTACAAAACTGATACTTTTATCACAGTGAGTGTTAATCACTTTCACCTAAAAAAAAAAAAAAAAAAAAAGGCCCTTTCGGGTTTACCGCACACGGGGAGTTTTCACCTAAAAAAAAAAAAAAAAAAAAAAAAAGGTCCTTCAGGGTTGACGCATACTGGTAGATTACTATAAAGTTTCCAGATTTGTCAATTTGATACCTCTTGTAAATGTTAGTCTGTTTCTTTCAAAAAGCAAAAATTGTATTGAGCCTCAGTATTCTGAGGAAATAGTCTAGATTTTAAAAAGCAAATCGAATGTGACTGGTACTTGATTTGTCATGTACTTTTATTATGCATTTGTTTGCTTGGTACCTAGTTGTTTTGCTTGAGCAAGCAGCATGAAAGGTTTGTGTTCATTGGGGTTTTTTTGTTTTGGGGGGTGGGGGTTGTTTAAACAGCGGCAACCTGTATTTTGGGTTTTCTGTTTTTTGTGTTTTTTTTCCTGTGTTTTAAATGCAGTCTTCTGACCACCAAATTTAACTTATCTTTATCTTAGGCCCCCAATACATGTTGCATTTAAAATTTACACTTTTAAATAGTAACCAGACACATGTGCAACTCAATTGAAGGTGTAATAATGCAGTAAATGAGCCATGATGTTATTTCACATATAATGTAGAACATCTTTTGACTCGTTTGTATCATGCCTTAAAATTTAAATGTGTGGTCAGGACCTGTCAAAGCACCCAGGGCTTTTAATAGATCCTGGTGCACAGGGAATCTGGCATGGGGCTGTTCCAGTTAATGCCAAGAACCAAGCTTGTCCCAGGCACAGCCAACAATCAACTGGTCCAGGCTCCCCCTGCACCAGCAAGTAAGGCATGATTTGGGATCTAATCCTCATTCCCAAAACTGCATCCTGTCACGCGTGATTGTTGGGGTCAAGAATTGGATCCTATCGCATGTTAAGTTGAACATCTTTCAGGGGCCTTCTACAACAATTTAACAGTTGGTTGCCCAGTACAAGAAAATATATAAAACTAACTTGTTTTGTGTGGTTTGTTTGTTGGTTGTTTTTTTTTTGGTGTGCGTTTAAAGGTGTTGGTATACTTAAGAAGTACAAATTGGGATACTCGTATTGCAGCAGGCCAGGCTGTTGAAGCCATAGTGAAAAATGTACCTGAATGGAATCCAACTCCAAGACCCAAACCAGGTGACTTTTAAGCATATTATGTAAAATTGGTAATGACTAATCTATGATTACTGTGGTGTAAAACTTGCCAGACAGTCTTTTCCAACCTGCTTTACAGTCACAATGTACAGGTTCTGTACAGATAAATTTTCTTCTCAACTTTATTAATCTGAAGCTTGCTTGCCTTTGTTTCTTCAGAACAGCTCATCTCTCATTGTGTTTTCCTTCTATCAAGGGGGGGAGGGGGGGATGGTAACCTATTTCCATCAAGGAATGTTTAGTGATTTCAACTGCTTTAAACTTTTATCTGCTGCTGACTTACTAAAAGGCAAAGTGGCATAATAGAAATGTACTGCTTTGTTTGCTGAATATTTCCAAATATTTCTTATACTTTCACAGATGCTCTATGTGTCAAACTGCTACATCTGTAGGTTGTTTTCTCTCTAATTTCAGTAAGTGAAATAAGTTGGTCCTATTAATATCGAGTGGCCTACTGCATACCTCTCTTAATATGCTACTCACCCCAAATCTGTATTTAGCCTTTTTTTTGTGGGTAAAAGGTTACTTTTTTTCAGTTTTACAGGAGCAAAAGTTTTTTGAACTTGAACAAACATTTTGTATACAGATTAGTTTCGAAGAGCATATTCTGATGCAAGGTACAGGTATAATTTTCAGAACTTGAGTAGGTCCATACTTGTGTAGTGCTCGTAGGATGTTCATAACTCTTAATTAGCTCACGGGCTTTATAGGTCTGCAAATCATTTTGTTCATGCACCATCCTTGTACACACACGAGCTGCTTTCCAAGGTCTAAAAATCAATCATAGTCTTCTGTTCATTGACTTTGATTTGCTGTGATTTTTATTTTTATTCTTTCCACATGAAATGAAACTGTACTCTTTGAAGTACTGCATCTTAATTTGTTTAAGATAGATTTTTCTTTTCCTCCCTACCTCTGCTCCACTTTTGGCATGAGAAGGAAATAGTTATTGACCTTTTTTTCTTTGATTTATTTTTAACCTTTTATTTAGAACCTGGGTCAGAAAGTCCTATGGAAGATTCGTCTGCAACTGATCGGTTACGTTTTGATGGATTTGATATCTGTCGGCTGTTAAAACATGGGGCATCTCTTCTTGGATCTGCTGGCGCAGAGTTTGAGGTCCAGGATGATAAAGCAGGTATATTTTTCTATTTGATTTATGTTTGTCTATAGATGATAAAATTTACCAACATGTGCAACTTGCTAGTTCAGAGCCCAGTATTGTGTACACACATTTCAAGTCCACTTCTGGGTCCACGGCCGCCGCGCTGCGCCACGCCCCCCCCCAGCTCGGCAACTGGTGCCTCTTGGGTCTGGGGGGCACCCAGAGTCCCCCTGCAGCCAATGGCTAGGGGGTGCAGAGGGGGCCCACATGCTCAGCGGTGAATCCAGTCCACTTCTGGATTCACCACCGAGCACGTGGTACTTCAAGCCATGCCTGGTTCTTCAAGGTACGTTGAAAAAACATTTTAAAGCTGGGTCTATGGCTGACTATCTGAATTGGCATCGAATCTTCAGATTTGGATTTGGGCTGAATCGGAATTGAATATGGCCTGTTTCACACACCCCTAATAGACAGCCTTGTGATATTACTACACCAGCAAGATAGGGAAGGACTGAATTGTATAGGCTCTCAGTAAAGTGTCTTAGTGTGGGTGGGTGTGTGAGCAAATGGTGGGAGTGGGAAGGGAGATATTGTCAGAGCAGTAGTGTTGTGCCTGAACTTGAGGGGAGTAAAGTTGCAGCAATCGGTGCCAGAAGAAATGGTGCTGAATAGTAGAAGGGCTAATATGAAAATATGAGCTGGTTGGATAGAGAAAAAGCCCGATCTTGCCTGAATATTTGGCTCCGTGGAGATGCCCAAATCAAATACTTTACCCCAGGGTTTTGGCTTGGCTGAGAGATCACGAAGCAATGTTCAGCAGTTGAGGGTGGGAGGAAGCACTGGAGGAGATCTGGGTGGATCTGACTGTATATCTGTATAAAGGTATCAAATGAACAGACATCAGTTTGGAGAGAGGAGACTGATCTGTAGGAGGTAGATTTATGAACCTCTGGACTTCCATGGAGGAGAGTTACAGGGGAAAAATGAAACTGTTTAGTTCAGTAGTGCTCAACCTTTTGGCCCTGCAGGCCAAATGAAAGGCATTGGGTAGTCTGTGGGCCAGAGTGAACTCTGGAAGCCCTGCACTGCCTCCACCTACCAAGATTGGTTAACAAGATTGGGTCCCTGCATCATTTTGTGGCCCTCTGTACCAGGATTGAGTACAAGGGGTGATGCTGGGCCCAATCCTAGCATGCAGGGCCACAGACCCATGAGGAGTCCTGCAGTCTGGGTGACACAATACTAGGGGCTAGATCTGGCCCATGGTTTCACTTGTGGTATCAAGTGACACTAATTGAACTTCAGTGTTCACATCTTATTGATGTAATTAGCTTTAGTTACCACTTCACCTTCTATGCTTTTTACTGTTTTGTGTAGGTACTAGAAAATAAGGTGCAGGGAGCTTTGTAATGGACTTCTGTACATATTCACTTACATCAAGAAGTGTAAAAACTGTCAGACTAAGGCGTCTAACTTTAGACCTCCTAATAATGAGGTTTAGGTTATATGGCCCCTGCAGATCTTACACTTAAGGTGCGATTAATCACTTAGTTACTACTTAAGATGTGATTAACTCTGCCACATGTTCATGCAGTTGTGCAGTAAAGTGGGGAATAAGCCACAAAGTGTGTTACTACATAGTTATTACACAAAAGTCAGAAAGTTATTGTACGAAATCAATTTTGTGGCCAGTTCTGACCAGCTGATCGGCCCTCCCCACTACAGGAACATAAGAGCCTTGAAGAGCTCCCTTGCACTTCTGTGCCTGGGAGTGCCAGTTAACTGATTGGCGCTTCTGGCTGTGGGAACATTCTATAGCCCTTCAGGACTCTGACACTCACAGCCCCAAGGGTGTATCTATGAGCTGACTGGTGCTCTGAGCAATAGGTGCTCTAGGCAGTCAGCCTGCTACTGGTTGGTTAAGTGGGAACATGAGATCATGATCCCAGGCTCTGCCCTTCACCGGCAGTGGGGTGCGATTTGAGATCTTATTCCCAGTCCAACAAAAATGTTTCTTGCCACACGTGTGGCATGGCAGGTGGTGTAACTATTGGAATCATAGAGCAGATCCCATTGCGCCTTTAATTGATAAATACTGAAAATGTGCCACTGAGCAGAGATAAGAAGCACTTAGATGGAACTTTTCTAAACTTTGGCAACAGGCTACTGACAGATATTCAATCGGACAACCTATATAGATTAGGGAGGTTATTTCTTTGATGAACAAAGTCATATACAAGGGAGCAAAAGTATGTGCTATGCTTATTTCTCAGTACCTGAAAGTTTTTAATATAGATATTTTCTCAATTTAAGTTACTCTAGATTGCCACGGCTGTCGCACATGCTGTTGGTCCTAGTAACATTAACAACAAAAGTCAAATATGTAACAAAATAAATACCCATTACCTTTAAGCTTTTAATCTTCTCATGAAAGTCACTTGTATTGCATTCTAGATTACTTCCAGGAAGTAGTTGGCAGCTCTTACAATTTGGTATCCTGAATAAAGAGAACACTGAGTTTACAACTTCATTTAATTATTTTAGTAAGCAAAATACTTTTCTTATGAATCAGTTTGCTAATAATTTGGTGAGTAAAGATGTACAAGTCTGAGCTTTGAAACTGCAGGTATACATCTGTTCAGTTAATATGCAGAGTTAAGCACAAAATAATGATGAAATGTTCATATGTCTAACTCTGTTGTATGCATAAACAGCTGTTTGTGTATACATACTTACTAATGTGTGCAGCTATAGTAAATATGAGCACTAAAATTATCCAGAGTCTTGAAATTCAGGCCCCACCTTTTGATTACAGTTTGTGTAGAAGTCATACTTCCTCTAAACCAGGGGTGTCAAACATACCGCCTACAAAATCCCACCTTCTGGCTCCCAGTGCTACCCCTGGGTCTGGTCAGACCCGCATGAGGGTAGACTCATGATAGGACCCAGAGTGATAGTAGAATGGAAGTAGAGTGTTCTAGGTAGCGGAGTTCCTGAATTTTCCCCGTTTTGATGTTGTTTTATGGCATGCAACTTACGCATTTACAGAATTTATAGGTAGAGGTACCTGACTTAAATCCTTCCATCTTGGTTTTCCCAAATTTCCTGGTAATGTCAACCACCCACACAACTCTAAATTGGTCGGTTTAAAGGGTGTGTTAATCTCACAGTTGGATAATGAAGTTGCGGATGCTTCCGTTTCATTTGCTCATCCGTCCCCCTGGAAGCACAGCAGTCAAAATAATAGGGATAAAAATTAAGGGTTGACCTTGCTTCAGAGTGGCTTTCATAGTACAAGTCTTGAAAATAAAATGTAGCATGGGCAGTTTACCTGTTAGATTTCCACATTTGTTTTGGGGGCCTACTTGGTTCAAGCTTCAAAATCCTCTTTCATTTAATATGGACTTGGAGTGCCTAACCATAATGCTATTTAGGTGCTAAGCATTTCAAATATTAAGCTTTGTAAGATTTTTGAGAGACTGATAGCATTATCTTCACTTTACAGATGAGACCATACCCAGTGTGGCATAAAGTTTATGGGTAGACCTAGAATGAGATTCTGAACAGACCCTCATTATAAAATCTAAAAATAAAATTTTATATTCCCTTCAGCCTCTCTCCCCATGAATACTTGTAAGGTTAAGTTTGGTGCTAGGGAAACTAGCATAGGAAACAATTGGGTCCTGTTTTGGAAAACCGTGCTTTCAGGGAAAACTTGAAGTTCAGCTGTTTTCACACAGTATATGCTCTTCTTTAAATTATATTGATTTAAACCCACCCCCTCCCCCACCCAAATATTAGAAATTCTTAATTTACCAGTGGTTCCCTAAATTATTTTGGTTTCTTGTTAAGAGGGACGTTGAGGAAAATGTATTTTTGAAAAATTGGATGCACCCAGCAAGGGTGTGTGTACAAAATAGCAGTACTAAATCTTTAGTTCCCATAGAGCCAGGCTCTACAGTTTGACAGAGAGGGGTTCTCCTTGGGTATAACTTTTTTTTTTTTCCCTCAAGTGCTTATGTAGGAGACTTGAAAATGTTATACATGACACGAAACTCAGACGAGCCTCACAGAAGCTGTTTTAAAAAAAACAAACAAACTCAAAACAAACTTTTTGTTGAACTTTCCTTTTAAAAGTAGTGTTGCTTTAATTTAGACAAGTTTTTGTTGTTACTTAGATCCCTGGGGGATGGGGGAAATATATGAAATATTACAAAGCTTTATACTTTCAGTGGTTGTCCCAACTGTCACAAATAGTACATCAAAATACACTTGTGAATTCAACAAGATTTTCCCCTCCCCATGACTTGGGATACTTTAATTAGTGTTGCAACTTTTATGTCTTCTTTCATAATAAATGTATTCTGAATACTTTCATTTCGAACACAGATTTCATATAAAAGTTGACTTTTTTTTTTTTAAAGGTGAAATTGATCACAAAGAGAGAATAGCACGGCAGAGAAAACTGTTACAGAAGAAACTTGGCCTTGACATGGGTGCTGCGATTGGAATGAACACTGAAGACCTGTTCAATGATGAGGATTTGGACTATATACCTACTTCAGCTTCACTTATAAACAAACAACCTGTAGGTAAAACCTTGGGCTCTTTGCAAGGAATAGTACAGTGGGTTTACTTCATTTGTGCTTCTGCCATTGTAATGGACTATACTTGAAATATTGTGCTTGAGTTGTAATTTTATTTTGTTCCCTGAACACTTAAATGCCACAGTTGCTTAATGCAGTGCCAGATTGAAGTTCAGAGTAGCAAGTAATGGAGGGTGGTATGGGGAAGTGAGAACAATGTAAGCTACAGGGTTTATAGGATGTTAATTACAGGCAAGATTGACAAATGACCAATTCTTAATTCTTTCAGACTCTTCAGGCTGCTGAATTGATTGATTCAGAATTTCGAGCTGGTATGAGCAGTAGACAAAAGAATAAAGCTAAAAGAATGGCTAAGCTATTTGCAAAGCAAAGATCCAGAGACGCAGTGGAAACTAATGAGAAGAGGTACTGTAGTTAAGTCTTTCAAATTTCAGTTAATCTATAGTTGCTCTTTATTCCCTGGTAGTTGTTGTGTCATTGGGCAACTCAAAAAAGCCTGCTCTGGCTTGGTAAGAAGAGCCATTTGGTATTTGACAGAGTATTTGGTAACACCTTTGAGAAATACCAATGAAACTGTTTATACACACGGTTTGAGGTGTGTGGGTTTTGCGGGGGGGTTGTTTTTGTAGTGTATGTGTAAACCTTCTCCCTCCCCCCCCCCCCCCCCCTCTTTTCCACTTTTCCTTCTCCCCCCCCCCCCCCCATCTCTGTTTCACATTTCTGCTGCCTGACTTTCTAATCTTTCTAAAACAAAGCGTTTTTGCAGTATCATCACCAAATTTTTATTTTTATCAAGTTCTGGGAAGTTTAAAGAGAATGCAGAAGCAAAAGTGACAGGATAAAGAAAATAACTTAACCACAGATTGTCATATCATGCAGACTACAGGCACTCCTCACTTAACGACCGAGTTCCGTTCCTGTGACTAGGTCGTTAAGCGAATTGGTCGATAAGCGAGGAGCCGCCCCTCGGTACTGCGTGCCTTGGCTTGAGACGCCATGCTGCTGTTTCCACGACCAAAGTTCTCGTACTTAGGACCAGTTCTCGCTGGTCGTAAGTCCGTGCGGTCGTTAAACAGGTAGGTCGTTAAGTGAGGAGTGCCTGTAAACTTAAGTTCTCTTTAACTACTATTGCAGTGGTTGTCAACCTTTTTGAGCTTGAGTTGCCTCTCCATAACTTTTGTGAATTCAAAAACTAACATATTACAGTGCTTGCTTGCTTGTTGCGGGGGGGAATTATTCAGGCAGGGACAGACCTGAGTGTTTGTTTATTTATCTGCTTTTATCTCTTCATACCTCAGGGCACCCTTAAAAGGATTTGGCAGCACCCCATGTGCCCTGGCACCCTGGCTAAAAATCACTGACTAGTTACAATCAAGAATTGTGATTAATTTTTATCTTTTCAGTGAAACATACTCAGTAACCTTTTTGGTTTTTGGTGTTTTTTGGGGGTTTTTCCTCTAAATCATTCAAGTGATTTCCAATAGCTTTAACAGTAAAACATTAGCTGTTGTAATCTTGCAGTTGAGGTTTGTTTGGTGGTGGTTGTTGTTTTTGTTTTGTTTTTTAACACTCTGGAGCCACATCTAAATTTAACCCTTTTTTTAAGAATATATATTTTCAGAAGTAGTTACATTTACATTTTTGCCCTCCTCATTACTTGACGCCTAATGATTTGAGTCCAAATTATGGTTTTTGAAGTTTGCCAATAGCATATTTTTAATTTAATGCTATGTAACTTTTTCTAGTATATATATGATATTTTCATTTATACTATCAAAACAACATTTTATTTCCTGTTATGGTGGGGAGGGGAGGGAATTGTCCTAATTGTATGAAAATATCCACTGTTCACTAAAATGGCTGTGCAGTGGCATTCCGTATGCTTGGCTTGTTCATGTCTTGGTTCTCAGCGACTAGTAATACCAGAGTTGTAGGTGTCATTAACTTTTTTTGTTTTTGATGTTAACTGTTCTCCATAAAAGATTAATACAAATTGCTAAATATGTTGGGTATAATTTGGTAACTAACATTTTGTTACTTATGACAATTTAAGTTTTGAATTTTCCTGTTAAACTCTTATTCTTTAGAGTTTTGGATGAAGAAGAATAAAATACTATGCATTTCTACTTCTGTACATGAAGGTTCATGGATATGATGTGATGTGTTTTTAATATTCTTTTTTAGCAATGATAGTACTGATGGGGAACCAGAAGAAAAGAGAAGAAAAGTAGGAAATGTTGTCCTCAGCCAGCCTGCCACTGACTCGAAAGTTTTGGTAGATAATACATCAGAAGAGGTACAGTATGTCCTTCTGTTCTAAAGAGTGACATAATTTGACCTTGGCTGATGAGTTGATTTTAAGTTCATTTTAACATTAACTTACCAAAAACAGAAAAGGGAATTATATTGTCAAATCAATTAACAGCTACAACTAAAGTATGTTTCTGAAACTGCATTTCACATTGTGAAAAATCACTTTAATGCATATTAAAATCCAGTAAGCATTTGTTGACAGCAGCCTGGCTTATTTGTTCAGTAGGCAAATTTACTAATAGTGCCTGTGCTAGGCAAGTGAAAACTTTAAAAAAAAAAAAAAAACAACCCCCCACCCCCGAACTTTTGATCTGGCTGTATTTGGTAAGAGGCAAAACATAATGAAACCATTATAACGTAACTATTTTTTACACCCATATGCTTTTTTTTTTTTTTTTTTTTTTTAATCAGACTTACAGACCTTAGCTAAAGTTTATTTTAAAAGGTTTGTATCTTGATTTGAAGCTTTGAACTAGGCCATAAATCAAAGTATAAAACTAATTTGCATTGTTTGTGAAACAATGACAGCATCTCACAAGTTGTTCAGTTGGCTTTTATTTTTAATTTTGCTGATGGCTAGACGTTGAGTAGCTGCCAGTTGGTAGTCTTTGCTCTAAAATTCGGTTATTTTTATGGAGTTGTGTTGAGCTATCTAAAAATAAATGATATAATGTCATTTTAAGACCCTTTTACCCAGATACAGAACTATCAACTTGTACAGAAATGGTTTCTGTTCTGTATTTTTGTGTGTGTAATGTATATAATAGAACTTGAGAGGCTTGTGCACTTGCTGACTCTGGTTGGTAAACGTTCACTTTATTCTGATCCAACATGCCAATATAATGTCAGAACCTGGGTCTCCTAGGCTAGTGGCTTTACCACTGCGATATCCTTTCTTTATGTGCAAGCATTGCAAGTTTAAAAACAAAAACAAAAAAACCCCCGAAAAGATGCTTAAACAGTACATAAAGGTGACTTAGCAGATGATGGAGTTGCATGATGGCAAGTTGTGACTCAAACCTTATTTTTGTGTGAAGACAAAGCTTGCAACCATAAGAATAAAGAGAGAGTCTAAGAAACCTCCCTTTTTTGTGTCAGAGCCACCTGAGGAAAGCTGATCATTTCCAAAGGAAGTCACATTATTACCAAATGAACTACATCAGCTTTTTGCAAGTCTAAACATTTTGGCAACATTACTAAATTTTTATCTATTGCTTTTTATCTTTCTGCTTTATTAATCGGGAGACATCACGGCCTTGTATCCTTTAACTTTAGGGAGTGGAAGTGTGAGGGCTCATACACACTGCAGTTACACAGCTATGGACAGGCATTACATTTGCATCAGGAAAAACACCTTTTTCTTCTGCACAAACAATAAACAACCAAAGTATAGACATTCAAGCAGTTTGATTCTGCTGCAAACTGTTCACTCTTTTAAACAGCACTTCTGTTTTCTAGTACCACTTCCAATGCATTGCACTAAACAGGCATCCATAAGTCCCTGGGACTCCCGATATCCCACAGTTCCCCACTTTTCCCTCCCCTCTGTCTCCAATGGGGAGGGAGGGAGGGAGAGTAGCTGGCTCCCTAATAGCCTGCTCGATGGTGAGCTGTCAAGGAATTCTACAGTATCCTGCTACACTTTGCACAGAACTCTCCCTTGGACTGTGCAAAGGGCAGTACTGATTCAAGCCTCGCTGCGTAGACCTAGACAGTCTGGGAGTCTTGAAGTAACAGCAGGAGTTCCATAACAGGTGTGCTGCGGCCCCCCCCCCACAATCTCTGTGCATGCACACAAACATACCACCACTTACCCTTCTGCCAGTCAGCAGAGTGGGCAGGTATGGGGTGGAGGTGGAGGCTTATAGTTAGTATAAGAATTCCCACCACCATCACTGCAAGAACCCTGGCAGTGTGCACCACCTAGTCATGCAGAGAGGGGCAGGGGGAGCCTAGCTGCAACTCAGACCCAGAGGGGAAGGGAGCATGGCTTGATCTGTGGGGTGGAGGGTGCAGGAGGTGTGGTCTGGGCCCAAGCTGGCCCTGCTGGGAAGGGGGCATGACTTAGCTCCATGGGGAACAGGGGTGTGGCTTGGTGGGGGGAAGAGTCAGGAAGAGGGACATGGTCTGCTCCCAAACTGGCCCTGATCTAGATGCAGGGAAGGGGCATGGCCCAGCTGTGACCAGCCATGCAGGGCTTGGGATTTGGGAATTTGGTGAGGGGAGGGTGGCTGTATCAATGGCAACTGCTCCCCTGGTGCCAAATTTCCCACCCTGTGGGGAGCCCCATGGGCCAGATACAGTGGCTCCACAGACCACACTTAACTTGTAGGTCAGAGGTTGAGCACCCCTGGTGTAAACTCTTAAATAAATAATAAAATCTTTTAATGTTTCCCTTAAAAATATTGTATTGTTAGGAAAGTTTTTAGTTCCTTTCTAACTGAAGAAGGAGAAAGTTACTATGGTGTGATTATTTCTTAAGGAAAAGAAATAATCCTACTGGAGGTCTCACTGGCGGGAAATTTCCTAAATGATTAACCCCATTAACTTGTAAAATACTTTTTTTTTTTTTTTATAGGTAAATGAATGGCCTTTGGAAAGCTTTTGTGAAGAAGTATGCAATGATCTTTTTAACCCATCATGGGAGGTAAGAAAGCTATTTAATATGTATAATGTTTATTTCTGATTTGCAAAGATGGGAATGTAGACCCACTTCCTCACAGAACAGTGCATCTGTTAAGTGTTTATGCTCTGATCCTCTTTCAAGAATGACTTGAATTGAATTCAGTCTACTTCAGTGGTCCAACCCAGGTGCACAAGTGCATTCCTAGAATCCCGGTGAACTGAACGGGAGTTGGCACAAGTGTGGAGCTCTGTTTCAGCAGTTCTTTGTGTGGGACAGTGGCCTAAACATCCTTTCCTGTATCCCTCTCTTCTTTTAAATTAAGACCCTTTCTCACTCAGAATAACTAAATGTACATGTCAGTACAGTACAAAAAAAAAACAGTTGGAGTGAAGGATGAAATAGAGTAGGAGTGGCTTCTGTGTGGCATGTGGCAAATAGCAGGGAGGGATGGTGGCAGAAAGCAAAGCAGCAATTCAGGCAAGGAGCACAGGAAAGAAAGCAGAACAAGTCAGGAAGTAGATTGGAGTTGCATTTTGGGAGGATGTGGGTCTAATTTTGCATGCCTGCCAAAGAGGTTGGCCCCACTCAAATAGGGTACTAATCCATGTAAGTGGGGTTTTTTTAAGCAAAGGAAAATGAAAGAAATTATTATACTCTTCTCTCTAGTAACATTAAGGCCATTCAGGCTTGTAGAGCATATATTGACTAGAGTAGGTAAAAAAGGGTGTTAGATCACACCTAGTTGCTTTGGTTGTTTAATCTGTTCCCAGCAGTGTTACATAGCCCAGGTACAGTGCTAGATTAACATGTGTACCATGCTTCTAGTTCAGGAGGTAATGCATGTAAAACAGTGCTGTAGGAAGGCACCATTGTGTGGCAGTAATCATACATGAGAAACAGAAATGTATTAGCTTAGTTGTTTTTCCTATTTTTTACTCTTATCTAGTGACAAGGATAGTACAAGAACCAGAGGTGGGAGTTGAAGCCAAACAAATTCAAATTAGAAAAGGTGACTCTTTCCTCAGTGAGGGTAATTGATAGTTGAAAGAACATACAAAGCATGTTGGTGGATCCTACGTTATTTCACACTTCAAATCAGAAATGAATATTTTTAGAAAGTGTCACCGTTTAAGCAGCATTGTTGTACCTGAAGCAGAAATTTAACTCAGAATGTACTGTGACCTGTATTTTACATGTTGGATTAGACCATCACTAGGCTTTGTGGCTTGAAAAGCTGTGAACTATGTTTATGATGCCTGTCTTTTGCAAAAGCTTGCGCCTCACCCTGCTAACACGCACAAGTATTAATAGCTGCCTTTGAGTGCTGCCAGAATAATTGTTCTTGGAAACCATCTGGATTGTTAGTCTTCAAATTGTAATAACTTGTGTGTGGGCTGTCACACTAACAAGATAACATGGTAGTTTTTGGTTTTGGTTTTCTGCTTAGTGCTTCAATCACATGAGGGTGTATACTGTCTGCTATGTCCATACTAAGTACAAACTGTCAGCAAGCTCTCATTTCATGGTTTGCAAAAAAAAAAAGTTAGCTAAATCAGTCCCATGTGACTTGTCAGTCTGTGGTCCTGCATAGATGTAACATATTTGAAAGTATTCCAAATGCCTTTGACACACTTGAAACACTGAGCATACAGATGTTCATGGATGAAGAAACATTTCAGAAAGTGAGGGACCTCTTTGAAGCACTTCTTGAAACATCTGTATGCTCTACACAACAAGACAGGAAGTTGCTTGATTTCTCCCCCCTCTGCTATCTGAGTGCTCTGTTCTCTGCTATCTTCCACCCACACCCACCTCTAAAACACACTTGAGCTCTGGTCTCTTGAGAAGGCCAGGGGCTGAGAGTTGGAGGGATTCCTGTTCTCTAGCCCCAGGGCAGAAAGTAGTTTCACACTTTTGGGTAAACACTTACTTAAAACAGCATTTTCCACAATTCAGGCACCTATCTTCTGGGGTGTATTTTTGCAATTTCTAAATTCCTAACTACCTTTTCCGCTACTCCATGGATTGGCCGTCCCAACCCGAAAATAGCCTTCACTAAAGGCAGCCCTGTTTTTCTTTCTTTGAGCATGGTGTGCTGATTATTTGTCTGCTGCCTGTACTGCTCAAAGCAGGGCTTCAAAGAGCAACAGAACAAGCAATCCAGAGAGAAAAGGAGCAGAAGCAGCAGCTTAACTATGGGGAAAGGTCTAGGGAGCCAGAAGTCGGCAATAACTGATGAAAAAGGGAAAAAAGTAGGTTAAAATGCAAACTGTCCAATGTGTTTATGCAAGTGTAAGAAGTATGAGAAACACAAGGTGAGCTGCAAGTTGCAACCTGTGAAATGAATGCTCCAATTGATATCGCAGCACTGGTGGGTTAAGCTCTTGTGACTGAAACATCATCATTGAGGGCTACAACATTTCAGAAAGAGCATTGGGAGAAAGTGCTAACATTGCAATGTATGTCAAAAATGCATACACTTTATTCTCTGATTTGAAGAAGAAGGTAGCAGATCAGAGTGGATTTGGGTGAAGATAAACTGAAAGATACAGCATGAATATAATGGTTGGGATTTATTATAGACCACCAATTCAGGAATAAGAGGTAGATGAGGCAGTCTTCAAAGAAGTAACAATTGTCCAAAAGTTAGGAGGAAATACTGAGGGAAGAGTTTCAACACATCTGCTGAAAGAATCACAGTCAAACAAAGTATTGAGAGAGTTCTTAATTTGTGTGGAGGATGACTAGAAGATCACTTATTTTGAATCTTGTATTGACTAATGGGGCAGAAATGGTGGAGGATGAGACCGTGATCATATGATAGAATTATGATCATGACACTGGAAAAGTATGCAGTCAGCAAAACTGAAATCTGCCTTTTTGAAATCCAGACTTAAGGAGATAAGTAAATATGGTGCCATGGGAGGACAGACTTAAGGATAAAGGTGCCCAAGAGGGCACAGTATTGGAAGGCCAACAAGAAGCTGTCCTGTCACAGTGGAAGCACAAGAATGGCAAGAGACCAGTGTGGCTCCACAAAGAGCTTGTAGAATGCCTCAAATGCAAAAGGAAAATATACAGGCTATGAAAAGAGAGACTGATCACCAAGGAAGCATAGCAGGAACTTGCATGGATAAAATCAGGGAGGAAAAGGTTTAAAAAAAAAAAAAAAAAAAAATTCACCTGTTTAGGCAAACCATAAGGACAAGAAGAAGAGGTTCTAGATATAGAGAGAGAGAGATCTATATATCGATGGATTGATGTGGGTCCACTGTTAGAGTGAATTCTTAACAGAAAATGCAAAGAAGACAGAGATGCTCAACAGCTACTTTGCCTCAGTCTTCACAAGCTGAGGGATGAGATAACAAAGGAAACAGAACTTTTGATGGTCTGAATAAATCAAAGTCAGCAGGGCCTAATGAACTTCATCCATGGGTACTGAAGGAACTTTGGCAGAGGAGATCTTGGAGTCCTGGGCAATAATGTTTAAAAAGTTGTGGGAGACAGGTGATGTACCAGAGGACTGGAAAAAAAGCAAACGTAGTGCTTCTCTTTTAAAAAGGCAAAAAGGAGAACCAGGGGAAGTGATAGATGGGTTAGCCTTACCTCAGTAGCCAGGAAGCTACTGGAGTATACCATAAGGAGGTCCATTTGGAAGCATGTAGAGAAGGAAAGTTTGATCATGAGCAGCCATCATGGATTTACTGTGAATAAATCATGCCAAACTAACTTGATTTCCCTTTTTGACAAGATAACTAGTTGGATGGATGAAAGGAGTGCTGTGAAATATCGTGTATTTGTCAAAAGTTGTGTTGGAGTCCCACATGACCTCATAAACAAATTGGCAAAATGTGGGCTAGAAAAAACTAATGCCTCTGCACTAGCTGTAAGGCATGATTTGGATGTCTGATCCCACAGTTGCCCCTCCTGCCATGATGTGTAGCATGTCAGGAGGTGTGATTGTGTGGATCATGCATTGGATCCAGTTGCCCCTTTTAAGTGTAGAGGGGGTCCTCAAACACAAATACACCCTGCTGGATAGCAGCACTACAGAAAAGGATCTATGGGCATTTTTGCATGTGTTGCTGATGCAGCGCCAGGTGCTTTTAATTAGCCACACTAATTAAAAGCCCCCATGCATCCTGTGAATTGGCAGCGCAGTGTGCCTCCACGTTGAGGAAATGGTGGCAGTACACTTTGAACTAAAACATGTTTGCTGTGCTTTAGTTCAAAGTGCACCACCATCACTTTTCTCAGTGTGGTGCACTGATGTGCTAGGCTATCAGAGCACATTCATTTATGTACTCCAGCAGACCTTATTAATCGAGCGCTCCAACGCATTGGATTTCCAGCACATCGGAGCACGCTCCCTGTATGTTTGTAAGTGTCCTAGGAGTCTTAGTGGGTCATACTCATACAAGTCTTCAATGTGATACAGCCACACAAGTTTTAGTTTCACTTCTTTTGTTGGGTTTTCTTTTCTGCTGCTATTTTTGGTGTTTCTAGCTTTTTGGGAGAGTGTTATCTGTTCTTTCCTTTCCGAGTAGAAAAGGGTAGGGAAAGCAACAGCTCCTTTCTTGCATTTCTGTGCATGTATTTTTGTTTTACGTGCGTTTTTTTTCTCCTTTTTTTGGAACCACTGTTTGTCATTCTGAAGACATTTTAGCCCAGGTCCTTCCCTGTTGTAAAAATGGTTGTACACTAATTTTTACCAGTTGACAACCTCATCCATGAATGTTAGTAAATACTCTGCTTGAGAATGGGATAATTTTATGCTGTCTTCAAATCTAGCTTTTTCATAGAAATTCTTCTGTCAATTGACCATATTTACTTGAATACAAGACAAGGTTTTTTTCCAGTCAGCATGGACAAAGAGAAGCTTCTTGTCTCTCTCTCTGTGTGTGTGTGTGTGTGTGTGTGTGTGTGTGTGTGTGTGTGTGTTTATATTCACATACAAGAAAACCTCACTAAATTGTCTGTCACTTAAGCTGCTGCCAAAAGCAGCATGTATGTAGTAATGG